AGGATCGAACCTAGGACCTTATGCATGCTAGGGAAGCACTCTACCACTGAGCCACAAGCCCAACCCCTAGGCTTTGCCTTTTAAGTGAGGTGCTCAGGATATTTACTGATATATCTGTCCTTATATCTTCTATTGCATATTTTGCTTTATATTTACCCTACTCTCTCTTCTCAGTTTTCTGTATTTCTTTTTCCAATCTTCCTCTCATCTTTCTTGCCTTTATTTGGATTGATTTTCCCCTCCCCCTATTTTATTCCTCTATTAGTTTATTCTCTATTTCTCTTTTACTGTTCTGCCATTAATTTTAACATGAAGATTTAAATTTTAAAACATTTAAAATTTTTTTTAAACACCTAAGGTTAATATCTATACCATTCATCCAAATAAATGAGGAATTTGCACTGCTTGAGCTATCTTTCTTTTTTTCTTTCTACCAGAAATTGAATCAGGGGCACTTTACCACAGAGTTACATACCCAGTTCATTTTTATTATTTTTTAAATTTTGAGACAGGGTCTTGCTAAATTGCTGAGGCTGACTTCAAACTTGTGAACCTCCTGCTTCAGCCTTACCAGTCGCTGGGATTACAGGTGCCACAATGCTCAGCTCTATTTCTTTCTTTATGTATGTTATTGCTGTGCAGACTTTCAGTCTTCTTTTCATCTGCTTAAAATTTCACAAAGTGTAGGCATCATTGTTATTATTTCAAACCCTAAATTGGGTAGTCATAAACACATATTTCTCTTCACTTGCTTTCTCATTTTTTCTCCTTATTTTCTAGTCCTCTGTCATACTGATGTCCTACAGAATTTTAAATTTGGATTATGATGTATATTCTGTCTGCTCTACCTCTGGCTCTCTCTCTTCCCAATAGAAAATAGTTGAGAATCACTGTTTTTTTTCTGAACTTACCTTCTCCTTGCCAAAAGGGAGCTGACCTTGAACACTACACTGTGTATACCCCATTGCCACTAGCTGGTAGTGCTTGTTTTTTGTCTTGTAGTGGAGATTAGACAGTCAATGATCCACCTGAGCCAAGGAAAAGAACATAGCTAGAAAGCTCCTACTAGCACATCTACAGTTTGTGGTTCTCTTCTCTGGAAATTCTTTCTTTCTCTTCTGAGCATTCTCAAGGGTTTTAATGTTAATTCCTTACTCTTTAGGTCTCACTTGAATTATAGTATCTCTATATTTGGTTTTGTGAAAGGGAGTCAACAGGCCATGCTAGTTTGCCAATTTTTAAGGAAACTATAAAGTATTTATTATTATTATTATTATTATTATTATATATTTACTGCTAAATATTTTGGATTTGCTTATTAGTAGCTTAAAAATATAGAGATGTTAATCAAATAGAACATATTTTTTACTTTCTTTCTTTTTTTTAATTTAACCTCTGCTCTTCCCAGTTCTGACAGTATCAGCAGTGATGAGGAAGAACTCAGGACTCTGGGCAGCAGTGGCAGCTCAGGAAGCAGCACTCCAGAGAAGGTGGGCCCTCCTTTCATCATGGATGAGAACAGCTGGTTCAACAAGTGTAAGAGAGTGAGACATAAGTATCAGCTAACCCTGGAACAGAAGGTACTTATCAGTTGTCAAAAGTCACTCAGTTTGGCTCCACTTATTGCCTTTGGACTGTCACTACCAGGAAACCTTTTAACTTAATAAATTATGTGCCATTGCTACTTCCCTTCTGTTTCTGAATTATCCCCTTAATTTAAAAAATCAGGCAGAGTTGTAGGAGAGGCGTTTGTTAAAAACTTTTTCTAATCTTTATGTTTTAACATAAAATAAGTCATTTTATTCTTTTGTAAGCAATTTAATTTATAAAAACTTGATATTATAGTCCCTATAATTCATTTTGTAAAACATTACTGGTTTGTGAAGCATATATATGTCTGTCTTTTTTCTTAATTAGGTATATTAGCAAATCTTGTCTGCCAAACACTATATTAGGGAAAGTGGAACATATAACAGAAAGAAAAATGAACTACATTATTTTAGAGTTTGTGACCTTTACTTTTTTACCATAGTATTTATTTTCCCTTCTGCCCCTTCTTTCAAATGTTCATTATTCTCTTATGTGACATATGTAAAGAAAACACAGCGGAATTAAAATAGAAATATTACAACAATTTAGAAATATATCCAGGAAAATGGTCATAAAATAAATTTACAAATATAAATAGATTTCCTATATCTAAACAGCAACTGCTTAGAAAATATAAGCAAAAATATCACGATTATAATAGCTATGAAAGTTTGCATAATTTATATGAAGAAAACTTTATACCCTATTACAGTAAACTTCTGGTGGCAGCAAGAAATCAGACTAAGATCATCTGAGAGCTGTTCTTCCGTAAAAATCTGAAAATGACGGTTATTATACAAATTTGAGCCTCCTGGCATTCTACCATCAAGCCGTATCCCCAGCCCTTTTTATTTTGTATTCTGAGACAGAGACTTGTTAGGTTGCCCACG